GTGAGATTTGGAAGTTAGGGAATTTTTGAATCATCTGATTTGTAGCCTAGGGAATTTTGGAATGTTGTGATTTGGCACCTAGAGAATTTTCAAATTACGATATTTAGAGTCTGGTGAATCTATGTTATTTTAAGATTAGTTTCAAAGTGAGAAGCTTCATAAACTTAAGCACTAATGAATTTCGAGATTTGGAACACAGAGAATCTTCTTCTAAAAATTTTGTGTAATAGGAGGTTAATTTATTAAAAGAAGCATAAACGAGATTAATATTCTGCAATTTTGCGATCGTTAAAGTAACACGGTCCTGAGAGGTCTGCCTCGAAGAGTTCCTTCCCGCGTTCAATTTCGCGGCTTCTTCTCTCTCGACGCTCTTAAACTTTCCTTTCCACTGAATGATAAAAAAAAGAACGAACCGGAGCGTTTAATTGTAAGCACATTCAATTCATCCGAACGATTCCTTTCTCCCCGGGTTCTTTAAATTTCTTCCGGCTCTCTTTGAAAGGAGCGAGGAATAACGGGAACAGAACGTCGAACAAGTTTACGCGTAGGATGCTAGAGAACTTTGCCTTCAACTTCAACCCCTGGCATCGGCCATTAATAAATCGGACTGTTGGAATAAGTTGCCTCAAATGATCGATAATTCGATGAATAACTCGATGGAAAATGCGGCGATTTGTATGCAATGATTTCACGATCGCATGCCGGGTCGCTTGTATAATCTCTCTTTATTAGATCAATATATACGTTTCATTAACGTGAAACGTTCGATCTTGTGTAATCCTCTATTAACTTTCGATCAATTATTTATGGGATGTGGTTAACAAGTTTACTGCTACGGGGGTTATCGGTAATCGATACTTCAAATTTAATGTGCCGGAGTAATTAAAAAGAATTGGGAGAGTATGGTGATTTTACAGATTTTTCGTTTTTTCTGTTTGGAGGAGTGAAGTGTCTGAAAATGTGAATCCTCTCGTGTTTTGATATCGTCAGGTACGAGTACTAACTCTGTTTTAAATTTACTAATTTTCAATTTTTCTACTTTTTGACTTCATGGTTTTTTAGTTTATTAGTTTGTCAAGTCTTCAAGTTTTCAAGTTTTTAGGTTTTCAGGTTTTCAAGTTTGCAAGTTTCCAAGTTTCCAAGTTTTCAGGTTTTCAGGTTTTCAGGTTTTCAAGGTTTCAAGTTTTCAAGTTTTCAATTTTCCAAGTTTTCAAGATTTCAAGTTTTCAAGTTTTCAATTTTTCAGGTTTTCAAGTTTCCAAGCTTTCAGGTTTTCAAGGTTTCAAGTTTCCAAGTTTTCTAGTTTTCTAGTTTTCTAGTTTTCTAGTTTCCAGGTTTTCAAGTTTTCAGGTTTTCAAGTTTTCATGTTTCCAGATTTTCAAGTTTTCAAGTTTTCAAGTTTTCAAGTTTCCAAGTTTCCAAGCTTTCAGGTTTTCAAGGTTTCAAGTTTCCAGGTTTTCAAGTTTTCAAGTTTTCAAGTTTTCAAGTTTCTAAGATTCCAAGTATTCAAATATTCAAGTATTCAAGCACTCAAGTATTCGAGTATTTATTCCATTTGATCGATTTTCAGTGCTTCAGTTTCTAAATTTATCAATTCTTTAATTATTCAATTTTTTATTTGTTCAATTTGTCAGTTTGTCAACTCTTTAATTTATCAATTCTTCAATTTCTCAATTGTCAATTTTTTAATTCTCCAAACCTTCAATTTTTCAACTTCTTCAATGTGTCCATTCTTCAATGTGTCAATTTGTCAATTCTTCAATTTTTCCATTTGTCAATTTGTCAATTTGTCAATTTGTCAATGTGTCAATTTGTCAATTTGTCAATTTTTCAATTCTTCGATTCTTCTATTCTTCAATTCTTCAATTCTTCAATTTTTCAATTGTTCCAATAATCAAGAAAATCTAAAAAAACCTACAAAATCTGCAATTCTGCAAAATTTGCAACTCTATAAGATTCACATAAACCTGCATCTACAAATGTTCGAAATGTACTCAATCTACAAGTCTATATATTCTCAATTCTACAAATCTACAAGTCTGTAAATCTACAATTCTATATAATCTACAAGTCTGTAAATCTACAATTCTATATAATCTACAAGTCTGTAAATCTACAATCCTACAAATCTACAAATCTTCAGTCTCACAGATCTCCAACTCCCCAAACCTAAAATCCGAACAATCTAAAAATTTCTAACCATCCCTCAAAAATGTCACTATTCAAAAAAAGCGAATGACTAAAAAGTTACTGAAATAATCAGTATGTACATTAAATGTTGGACATTGAAAGGTTAATCGGTCGAAGCAGGAGGCTAGCTTCAGGGTGGCAATTTCCCAAGCTGCTTGATCTTTCGACGAAAATCATGCTCGTAACGAAGAAACCTGGCCGGGACTGACACTTGCAAATGACGTTAGCCCGTATTAACGCACCGGGTCTATCCACTATCCGTGCCCGAGACAAAACGTCTCCTCCGGCCGAGTCGTCTCGTAAATTAGTTCCAAGTTAATCGGTGACGGCACAGGGTCGCGAGATATCCGGCCGTTCTGGAAAGATGGCCGCGCGAAAAGAGATAATTTGCATTTTAATTGCACCAGTCTGCGCCCTACCGCCCTCCGTTAACGTTGACATTGCACCCTTGCAACCTGCTACCTTGCCGGTCTGAACCTTCGCTTTCAAAAAGCTTTGTTCACGATGCTTCTGTCCTTTTTCGACGTGCATGTATCGCTAAGGATGGAACACTGATCGTTTCCGAGACATTTTTGGCACCGTTCCGACAACGATTTCTTCTTTGTAGCGTTTAATGGAGGATGCGAAACGTTTAAAGTGAGGCTGCCGAGGGAGTTTTTTCGAGGGTTATTTTTGTCTTTTGGATCATTTGGGGAGTTTAATTTTTTGGGGGGAGATGTTGAGTTTAAATGAAGAATTAAGTTTTAATTTAATTTTAATTTTTTTGGAATTTGGGAATTTGGGAATTTGGAACTTCGAGAATTTTGGAATTTGGGAACTTTGGAATTTTGAAATTTGAAAATTTGGGCATTTGGGAATTTGGAACTTTGAGAATTTTGAAATTTGGGAGCTTGGGAATTTGGGAATTTTGGAACTTTGGAATTTGGAAATTTGGGCATTTGGGAATTTGGGAATTTGGGCATTTGGGAATTTGGGAATTTGGGAATTTGGAACTTTGAGAATTTAGAAATTTGGGAGCTTGGGAATTTGGGAATTTTGGAACTTTGGAATTTGGAAATTTGGGCATTTGGGAATTTGGGAATTTGGGAACTTGGAAATTTGGGAATTTGGGAATTTGGGAATTTGGGAATTTGGAACTTTGGGAATTTGGGAATTTGGAACTTTGAGAATTTGGGAATTTGGGAATTTAGGAATTTGGAAATTTAGGAATTTGGGAATTTGGGAATTTTGGGAATTTTGGGAATTTTGGGAATTTTGGGAATTTTGGGAATTTTGGGAATTTTGGGAATTTTGGGAATTTTGGGAATTTGGAGAATTTGGGGAAATTGGGAAATTTGGAATTTGGAAGAAATTTAGGAACTTGGGAATTTGGGAATTTGGGACTTTAAGAATTTAGGAATTTGGGAATTTGGGGATTTGAGAATTTGGAACTTTGAGAATTTTGAAATTTGGGAGTTTGGAAATTTGGGAATTTGGGAATTTGGGAATTTGGGAATTTGGGAATTTGGGAATTTGGGAATTTGGGAATTTGGGAATTTGGGAATTTGGGAATTTGGGAATTTGGGAATTTGAGAATTTGAGGATTTGGGAATTTGGAACTTTGAGAATTTGGGAATTTGGGGATTCGGGAATTTGGAACTTTGAGAATTGGGGAATTTTGTACCCCTCAATACCTTTTAAAATATTTTACTACAGTTAATAGGGTTTATTAGGGTTATTAGGGTTAAATCAAAGGGAATAAACAATAATGAAAGAAGGATTATTAAATGATGGAAACATAAGACAGTGAGTAATGACATATATTAAATTTAATAACACACGTTGACATCAAATTACCAAATTAATCTTTGGTATTTTCGATTTTTAAAATATAATATAGTATACAAAATTTATAAATAATATATTGGTTTTGTATTTCTTTGATGGTCGAGGTTTATATCAAATTGTTGTCGATTACTTTCAATTATTTGATTTTGAAAAATTCATATGTGGAACTTATAAATAACATACATAAGACACATATGTATATAATATATATACAACATTTTTAACGCTAAATAAATGCATGAATGATATTTCTAAATTTAAATGTACAGTATTACAAAAATTTTCTTAATGAATACTATGCTTAATTATAAACATTAAATAAATTTATTAGTTTATTTTTATATGTATGAATTAAAATACTAATTGACATAATAATTGATGTATTCGTTGTTTTTAATTGCAATTTACTTATTTAACAAATTTCCAATTTAATAATTTATTAATCACTGAGATTTGTGAATTTTAGTATTTAAAAATGTAGAAATTTGCAATTTCCATCTTTTTGAACTTTTTTATTTTTGATTTTACAGATTTTCATATTTCCAAGTTTTCTAATTTTTCCAATTTTTCCCATTTTTCCAACTTTTCCAATTTTTTCTATTTTTCCCATTTTTCCAATTTTTCCAATGTTTCCATTTTCTCCATTTTTTCCAATTATTCAAATTTCCAAATTTTTAAATTTTCAACTTTCCAACTTTCAAAATTAACAAACTTCAAAATTGTTAATTTGAGAATTTCCAAATTTTCAAATTTTGTGAATTTCTATAATTTTTGTAATTTGTATAACTAATAGCTGAAAAATCAAGAAATTTGAGAATTCAAAATTTTCAAATTTTCCATATATCTAAATTTTCAATTTTCCAATTTCCAATTTATAAATTTTTAAATGTCAAAATTCTATATTTCCAAGTTTCAAAATTTCAAAAATATCAAATTTCAAATTTCCAAATTCCCAAATTTCTCAATTGTCAAATTTCCAAATTTCTAAATTTCAGAATTTCCATCTTCCCAAATTTCCAAATAACCAAACTACCAAATATCAAAATATTACAACCTAAAAATTCTCCAACATTCATCGCCCTAAACATAAAGTTAAACATAAATTCCACATAATACAAAATACCACATAACCCTTATCACACTAAAAGAGACATTCAAATCCAGTATAAAATATACAAATAATCAACATTCCATTACACATTTCCACGAAAATAATTATAACTCGTCTATTTCCTTATACACTAATTAAATATTAATTATTTAATTCGATTTCCTAGGATTTAACCATTACGTTCATAAGCATTCTAGTTGCCAGTGTCACCTGAACATTAACAGGTTTTATGGTGTCCTGGTCCAAGCACTGTTAGTTTTATGGCACTTCTCATTGGTTGCAGCCGTTACCTTACATTCGCGTTGAAGGTCGATACAGCTTCTGTTGAAATACAACTACCAGTTCCATATCTCGTTACTGTATATTTCCACAGGAAATCTTAGAGTATCAACTTTTCATTGCATATTCATTATCTTTAATATTCACAACTTAATTCTTGGGAATTTATCGAGTTGCTAATGTAATTTGGTTTGGAGATTTGGAGGTTTTCATGTGGGTTTACCTAATTGCAAATTTTTTATGGACTTGTAAGTTTTTTATATAAATTCTTTATATGCAGTTGCAAATTTAGCTTTTGATGATCTGAAGAGAAATTTTTTCAAATTACCTAAGTATCAAGTATCAAATCACTAATAGCAAGATCAAAGCGTAGCTCCAGCTTTTAGTGATGTGAAGGTAAATTCTTTCAAACTACCTAGGTGTCATGTAAATCCGTCTTCTGATGATCTGAAGTATAACTCTTTCAAATAGCCTTCATATCAGGTTGCAAATCTAGCTTTTAATGATGTGGAGCCTAATTGTCCCAAGTAACCTAATTGTCCAAAGTTCAAATTTCTAATTGTCTCAAGCTATAAATCCACCTTTTGATAATCCAAAGAGTACTTTCAAATAACTTCCCTAAATTCTAAACCTCCTAATTTCATCTCCTAAACTCCAACATCTCCCAACAAAAATAAAACAGCTTCCTCAATAAAACCCCCAGTCCCTTAAGATCCTAACCACATCAAGTTCACTTCCGTCCCCATCCGCAATAAAACTAAAATCCCGACCAGTTAATTGCTCAACACATAAGCTGTTCCTCAGCAACACGAACTGTTCCTCCCCGTAACAAGACACACTTTAATCAGCTTCATTTCTCACTCGTGTCCCGATAAGCTCGACCGCAGCGTAAACAAAATTCGAGCGTCCACATGCAAACGAAATCAGGTCCTAGATACACCCGTTGCCCCAGCACGCGCACCAAGGCACGTTTCCACTGCTGGTGCTGGCCTTCCTGGGTTTAGCGCTGCCGTTGTCCCTGCTGCTCATGGAGTTGGTCATCTCCCTCTCCGAGTTGACGGGGTCCTTTTCCCTGGTCACGTCGATGCTGCCGCTCCTCGTGGTCTTCACGGAGGCCAGAGAAGGTCTCTTCTTGGCGTTGAAGTACAGTGAGACCCTGCGCAGTTGGTCCTTTTTTGGGGAGTCCTGACCGGAGGAGGAGGACCTGCTCTCGTTCTTGTCCTCCTGGCCCTCGGATGTGGTCGTAGGTGTGATGCTAAGCTTCATGGACCTCTTCTGGGGCTTCGCGGGTGATTCAGGCACCTCGGACGACGTGACGCTGCTTTGCTTCTTCAGCCTCCTCTGAACGGGCGGAGACAGCGGCTTCGTCTTCTTAACTGTCCTCCTCCGACGTTGTCCGCTGGGTGTGCTGGGCGCACTTTCTTCGTGGGACAGTATGTGCTCGTCTTCGTGGTGAGAATCACCGTCTATGGACGTCTGGGTCTGAGCGGGCACCTTTCGCGTCAGGTGATCGTAGTACATCATCCCTCCTTGAGGATACAATCCCGTCCTCGGTAGAAAAGTCATGTTCTGATAAGGATTCGGGTACGGAGCGTTCAACCTGCGCATGGTGCCGAAGTCGTAGGGACTTGACGGACTCACCAGAGTGCAGGGACTAGGTCTCTCAAAAGAAGTCACCTGGATTTGATGTTTGTTCGCCGGGGACGTCAGCTTGCCGTTGATGAGCTGGTTCGTGGGGATCAGTAGGCGATTCTGATCGGTCTGGACAGGTCGGTATCTGTCCAGGTGCACTCTGTTGTAAGTGACGTCTGGACGGGAGGAATAGTAGCAAAGGTTGTCGTCGTTCACCTGGACGGACAACGGGCGAGTCACGTTGGTCTGGTTAATATAACCCGCGTCGAAATTGCGGAGGAAAGGGTTCTTGAAGAGGCGCGATTCTATGGAGGGTAGTTTTGGTATCTCGGGGGTGTCCGGACTGATCGCTTGTTTCACTCGTGGGGGTTTCAGAGTCACAGTCAGGTGGGACTTGAACGGTTTGGAGTCCGATATGTTGTCCAGGGTGTTGTCGCTTTGGGTCATCTGCCTGCCGTCGCTCATGGAGGCGACCTGGGCTTCGCTGGACAGATCCTGACAGGACATCGACTTGATCAACTGGTTACCGCACTTGTCTTCGTTGACCAGCAGGTTGTCGGTGCTCAGAAACGTCCTTTGTTCAGTCTTATTCTTCGCGACACTATCCTCGCACGGTACTGCGCCTTTCACGCAAAGGTCGGCCGACCCCTTCTGGCTCGCAAACTGATTCTTAGAGATCACTGTAGACCCAGTCTTGCCACTACTGGAACTATTACCTGTTCCAAAGTGGCTGGTCGTCGGCGATGGTTCCTCGGTTTGTTTCTTAACCTTCGAGGGCAACGGGGCGAAAAAGTGCTTGGGTCTTTCTGAGACCTTCTCTTCAGCATCCTTCTTCGGATCAGTGACTTGATCCTTCTGCGACTCCCAGCCATTCTCAACTGACTTCTCGAAGAGTAAGTTAGGTCCAACGTTCCTCTTCTGAAAGAAATTCGGGAAGCTCGGGAACTCCTGCTGGAGCCCAAAGTTCTGGACCCCAACGTTACCATCCACATCCTGCAATCCAAATGTGCCCATCTTCTGAGGCATCACGTTGGTTTGCCAACCGAGAGGAGGCGCGTGCAGCACCTGGTCGTTGATCTGCTCCATGTTTGGGTCGCTGAGACCCGTAACTGATAGCATTTGATCCGCATTGAGCCTCGGACAGGGTGTAATCATCCCCGTCGCTTCAGGTGGCAACATCAGATTGAGAGTGCTGGGAAACTTAAAGGGACATTCGGTGTAATATGTGGGGCTACCCAGACCGGGTGGCTCATAGGCTGCTGGGTAAAACGGTATGTTTTCGTGCAGTTGTCTGGATTTCAGTATCGACATGGGACTTTTGTTTTCCTTCCGCACATCCTCTGACGACATTTCCTTTTTATCTTTGTCTCTTTTCAATTCCTCTTCTTCGTCGACCACTGATAAGTCGTCGAAATCCACGTGCAGTCTATGTAGACTGTTAGTCATTTTTTCAGAAGAGATCTTCTGGTTCTCCACGTTCTCTAGCTGCTCGGATTTGGTGGCCTCCTTCGAGGAGTCCTGCGTGTCGTCCTCTTCGGGTTGCTCGTCCTCCGAGTAGTCGGACTGCAGGCCATCATCCTCGTCGGAGCGATCCTGAAATCGGTTGACTATTAGTTTCTGATTTAGGTCTTCTATACTTGGGATTTGATTAGCTTAGGCACGTGTTGGAACTTTGGAGACAATTATGTAGCTGAAATCTTGATATCAGAGGTTTTGATGATAGCTCTAATGAGATCTGGGATCATGTCTAGCTTCATTTTGATAATTTATGTGTAAGATAGAATTGTAATCTTGAAGGTATTTGAAGCAATTCTGAACATTTGTGTCTCTCAAGAAAAGTTATATCTAAATTTTTATGACATCGTGAATTTTCTACTCAAACATCCTGGAAGTAAATCAATTTTTCACGCGTTTACGTTCAATTTTCTAGCCGTAACTTTGCACTTAGAGGCCTCCCTTCAAAACAAACTCGATTTCAATGAATCACAGCCCCAAGGAAAATCTCCGAGCCATCGATCATTCGTCTCTCATCGCTCTCCCCGGCAAATTCATCAATGGATACCTCGTATTCCTCGCTTTCTGTGCGGTTCTTCTGCCTCTTCAGGATCTCCTCGAGTTTGTCGTACTCGTCCCTGAGGCTCCATATCTCCCTACGAAGCTGCTCGTTCTCTCTGCGCAGCTTTTTGATGTCGTTCTGACCTGAAAGCAAACGAACGACTACTTGAAGTACATTCATGAAATAACCAACGGGGAGCGTTTTAACTTGCATCGACACGCGCTCGTATTCCATAGACCTCGCTCATAATTTACAACTGGTCATCGATCGAAGAAACAAACATCCAGTGGGTAAATATGTGGACAGTTGCGAAAGGGTTGACCATAATTACTGATCGGTAGCTAGGGTTCAGAGTGCGGTAAGGGTTATTGCTAGAGTGCAGCTAGGGTTATAGCTAGAGTGCAGTTGGGGTTATAGTTGAAGTGTAATCAGGGTTAGTTCAGTATATGGTTCTAGAATGAGTACAGTTATGGCAGCGAAGGGTAGTTCTGGCAAGAATATCGGGTGCTGATATAGCGTGGCTGTAAATTACAATGTGGATACCTTGTCTGGGAGAGTCTATAAGCTAGATGGAAATAGTATGAAAATGATCTCTGCAACGTATAATATTACACCATCAGGTCCAAAGGTGTAGGTTAAGTATTTTGTCAGAAATATACAAGGTACTGTATCACACAGTTAGGTCCAGAAGTTTAAGGCTCTCCCTCACTTCCTTCCAGATTTGAAAGCGATATCCATCCAGTTCACTCCAACAAGCTTTTTTGTTAATCCTCCCAATCCGGTGTTCACATGAAGCTGAAAATTAGCTCGTCCACAAGAAGGTAGCGTGTTCCCTTTGAGCGTTCGCATTAATCACGCGAATGGGACAGGCACAAAGGTTCGCGAGTCCGATCTAATCGGCCCGCTAATCTCCGCGGAGGCGGACGATCGATCAAAAACACGTATCCCAAAGAGAAAAGTGGTCGCGATTTTTCATTTGTTTCGCAACGCAGGCGAGATTAGGCGGCGAAAGTTTATTCGTATCAGCCGGTTAAGTAATTGGAAGGGAGGTCTGGGCCCACGGTGATTTATCACTGGCTCCTTGACGCCGCAGCGAAAGACGAAGAAGGGTTAGAGGGCAGAGATTGTTGTTAGAGCTGACCAATGATCGATCATTTCGATAGGTACACCGAACGGTCCGTCTGTTGCCAGACCGAGCTCTGCTTGATTAAACGATTTTCGTGAGAAAAACGTCGCGACAGTTTGATGAGGTTCGACTGAACTGGCTCTTCGGGCTCTTTGATCGATCGTTCTTCTGCTGCGAAGTGCCGTCTTGAGTTCGTATTTTTCATCATTTAATTACTGGATAGATAGATTGCTGCTACGTTGAAGAATACGGACTTTTAGGAGTCTTCACGGTTTTGTCGGTGTTTTTAGGTGTAAGACGGATTTTAATTTGGAATTTGTGGGCTCTGGTAGTTTGGAGTTGCGAGATCAATGGTACGTTGAGGATTTGATGTTTTGGGTATCTTTTTCGGCTGTTAAGATTTTATGGGATTGGAAGTTTGTAAATGTGTAAGTTTTTAAGGTTGGAATTTTATAACTGTATAATATTACAATTTTACAAATTTACAATTTTACAATTTTACAATTTTACAATTTTACAATTTTACAATGTTACAATGTTACAATTTTATAATTTTACAAGTTTACAATTTTACAATTTTACAATTTTACAATTTTACAATTTTACAATTTTACAATTTTACAATTTTACAATTTTACGAATTGTGGAATTTTACAACTGTAAAATTGTAGAATTGTGGATATGTGGAATTGTGGAATTTGTGAAATTGTGAAATTGTAGAATTATGGAGTTGTGGGTTTACAGAATTGCGGAATTATAGCTTTGTGGAATTTTGAATTTGTGGATTTGCGGAATTGTGAAATTACGTAATATTGGAATCGCGAAAATGCGTAATTGTGGAATTGTGAAATTCTGTATTTGTGTAATTGTGGAATTATGGAATATTGGAATTGTGGAATTGCGGAGCTGTGGAATTTCGAAATTGTGTAATTGTTGAATTATGGAATTGTGAAATTGCGAAGTTGTGGAATTTCGAAATTGTGTTTGTGGAATTTTGCAATTATGGAACTTTGAAATTGTGGAGTCACGGTTTTGTGGAATTGTGGAATTGCGGAGTAGTGGAATTTCGAAGTTGTGTAATTGTGGAATTATGTAATATTGGAATTGTTGAATTATGGAATTGTGAAATTGTGGAATTGCGGAGTTGTGGAATTTCGAAACTGTGTAATTGTGGAACTATGGAATATTGAAGTTGTTGAATTATGGAATTGTGGAATTGCAGAGTCATGGAGTTGTGGAATTGCGGAATTATAGAAATGTTGATATATTGAGTGTTGCAGTATTAAATTGTTAAAATTCTTAGACTTCATCCCTTGAAATCTAAAAAACCTTATTTCCGTAACATCACAATCCTACAACTGCAAGCTATTGTATTCCAAAAATGTAGCAACTACACTTCAGAGAACAACACATGTTCTCTGGTAACATTAGAGTCACCATATAATTAATCGACTTTCGAAAGTGGGTCCTGACCGATAAAAGTTAGAGAACTTCAGTCCCCAAGGAGATTCCGTCGAGCGTAAATGAATCTTCCGACTTCCACTTTCCGGAAGTTCACACATACAATTTTAAAAGAATACGATTTACGATTTATTTAAAGTCCAGTCGTCGCCGTGACTCACACCGTATTATTTATTTACAAAAATTCTATCTATCATAGCGGGCTTAAAATTGATAAGAGAACGAATTGCAACGTAATCCATCTATCGCTAGCGTTAAACGCATTTTACAAGCAGTCGTGTGATAACAGCGCGCCTAAGCCGCGCGACGAGTATATGCGTGCAAGAAGAAAAGCCACGTGGTAAATCAGGATTAAAGGTAGGCCCCTGCTGCTCGGAAATTTAAATAAATTAAATCCTTCCGGAGGTTCATAAATTCGGATCTTCCGAACGGACGGCTATTTAGATCCTATTAAATCGTTTTCATCTCGTGATTGCGTAGCTTTATTTGTTTAGGGATGGCCAGGATGCCACAGAGATTTTCACCCTTTAGTGGTATGAAAATATCCTTGTAACGTCTGAACTAAAAAATTTAGGTTTCAGAAGTTCCTCGTCATTTAATATTTTTTAATTCAATTTTTTAATTTTTTAATTTTATAATTTTATAATTTTATAATTTTATAATTTTATAATTTTACAATTCTATAATTGTGGAATTGTGAATTTTTCGGAATGTAAACTTACAGAATTGTGGAATTGTAGATTTATAAAATAATGGAATTGCGGAATTGTGAAATTCTGGCTTATTGGAATCGCGTAATTGCACAATTATAGAATTGCGACGTTGCGAGGTCGTGGAATTGTGAAATTATGGAATATTGGAATTTCGGAATTGCGCAATTGTGGAATATTGGAAATATAGAATTGTGGAGTTGTGGATTGGTGGAATTGAGCAATTGAGCAACTGCCCAACTATGAAATTGAGAATTTGTGGAATCGCGAAATTGCTAATTATGGAACTGTGAAATTGTGGATTGAGGAAATGCGTAATTATGGAATTGTGGATTTGTGGAATTGCGCACTTGTGGAATTATGAAGTTATGCAATATTAGAATTGTAGAATTATAGATTTGTGGAATTACGGAATTGCCAATTCTGAAATTGTGAAATTGGGGAATCATGGAATTGGGGAATATTAGAATTGTGGAAATGAGGAATTGCGCAATCGTAGAATTGTGGGCTTGTGGAATTATGGAATTGTGCGACTGTGGAATTATGGAAATTTTAAATCGTGGAGTTATGGAATTGCGGAATTGCCAATTGTGAAATTGTGGAATCATGGAATTGGGGAATATTAGAATTGTGGAAATGAGGAATTGCGCAATCGTGGAATTGTGGGCTTGTGGAAATATGGAATTGTGCGATTGTGGAATTATGGAATTTTTAAATCGTGGAGTTATGGAATTGCGGAATTGCCAATTGTGAGTTTGTGGAATCATGGAATTGGGGAATATTGGAATTGTGGAAATGTGGAATTGTGGGCTTGTGGAATTATGGAAATTTTAAATCGTGGAGTTATGGAATTGCGGAATTGCCAATTGTGAAATTGTGGAATCATGGAATTGGGGAATATTAGAATTGTGGAAATGAGGAATTGCGCAATCGTAGAATTGTGGGCTTGTGGAATTATGGAATTGTGCGACTGTGGAATTATGGAAATTTTAAATCGTGGAGTTATGGAATTGCGGAATTGCCAATTGTGAGTTTGTGGAATCATGGAATTGGGGAATATTGGAATTGTGGAAATGAGGGATTGCACGATCGTGGAATTGTGGGCTCGTAGAATTATGGAATTGTGGAACTATGAAATTTTGAAATCGTGGAGTTGTGGAATTGCGGAATTGCTCAATTATGGAATTGGAGAATATTGGAATTGTTAGAATTGTGAAACTGACGAATTTAGTTAGATAAAATTAACAAGAAAATATGTCTTAAGAACACAGAAATTGAATAATAAAATTGAATAATAAAATTAAAAGAAAATTTAATATTACTTGTAACGAAATTGAAAAGTTGAATTAAAATTCTGACGTATAATTCCGCGAAACAGTGAATAAACTTCGCTTAACAGTCGCCTCACGAGAATAGAATTAATTTCACTGCAAACAAGCAATTATCCAGGCGCTCATGTTGAAGCAGAAGAAAACGATCGTCCTGAACTTCCTGCAGCCCGGAGCTGTTCTCTCTGCCGCGATATATTAATTATTACCACGGGAAGAAAATGTTTAGCCAGGTCGCAATTGCGTTAGCCCGGAAGAGGTACATAAACAGAGACGACGTACATTAAACCTCGGGGATCTGTATGGAAAAAGGAGAGGAGAGGCCGTCTTTCCCGCCAACAGGGAAGAAGCCCTGATCAAAGCAGCCACGCGCGTTCTGGCCGCATATTTGGTTTCGTCAAGTTTCCATCGGTGTTGGCCCTTTGAAAAATGGAAATTGCGTCCCTGATGCAAACGAACGAACCTCCGTCGAGATGCCTGTGGGCTGTTTTCTCTTTGAGCCAGGAAACAAGAAATCG